GAAAGTAGAAGCAGTTAATTAGGAGACCTAATGCTCAATGGTATTAATTGTCTTATAAGAACATATTTTGCAATGTAAATGATCAAATGCTAAATCTCGAAAACTAATGTAAACTCTTAATTATCTTCATTAACTTCAAATCAAAGATTCCAAATAACAGACATGACTGATAAAAAAAAATTACATATATTAAAGAAAAGTGACATGAATCGCAAATATTTATGGAGTGACAATTGATGGCTAAGTTTTGAGAAAATGATGAGTTCTGAAGAATCTAACCTTAAAGTCATGTATGATATAATTCCTTCTTCTACTTCAATTTACAAAGTGACACTGAGTTTTAAGTCTATGTTCTGCAAAATGGATAGAATGGAGATAGGATGAGAGAGAGTATGAAGAATGCAATAGATTTGATGTGCTGGTAATTTAAAATGGTGCTAACCTGGAATCATCTCTAAATATGTGAAATCAATAGGTCCATGTTTGGATAATTGGATCATTCTCACATAAGCTGGTATAGAAAAAGGGAATGGAATAAAAATTGTTATATAGTCAAATGTTGACATCTTTTATGAAACATGAGTTTAACATTTTTAGAAAACTTAAAAAAGATTACCTAAAAGTATTCCTCGTGTTGCAGTGCCAACAATTGAAACATCCAGGGATTATTGTATAGATTGACAAATTTGATTTTAGGTGTTACTTTGAAGTCTGAATTGATAAAAAGATACAAATGCTTACTAATATGGTGATGGTGAGGATAAACTTAGTGATGGATGGGAAGTTTTTAAAGAAGCTGAGATTTAAGAAAATATACCTGATGAGTTCAATCTTCTTAAAACTGGATGCACTCGTTCTATTTGGATATTGGAATGTGAGGAACTTTGAATCAATCAGTACCTCTTAGCATTGGATGGCCCCAGCAGAAGGTAAATATTTCAAATTATGGACAGAAATTGAATATCTGAATAGAGACAAAGTTCACAACAACGATGCCAAAGCTTCCAATTTATAAAACTCTCTATAATCAAAGAGTCCATAAGCCAAGCTACGTCGGCTCTTCTCTTTATGCACAAAAAGCCATATGGCACAAGGAATGTGATACTAATCATGAACACCTACAAGCATTCTTTCTATCAAAATTTTCAAGAAAAATACTCTAGCATATGATCCTACTCACTTGCATAGAATATATATGCTTGTAAAGACATAATACTTAATTAAGACTCTTATATGATCTAGCAGGCATGCCTAAATAATATTTTGCATTGTCAAGAAGCTTCCTCCCTTCTGCCTGCTACTTCTCCATGGTGTGAATTAAATACTACCTAAGGTTCTTCAAATGCTCAAATCCAAAGTACACGATAACTCCATAACTGCATAACCAGCAAATTGTTTTAGAAAAAAAGAATTAATGAAATAAAATTTACTATTGTGTCACTTGTTAATTTCACTTATGAAACATAAATTTACCTTTTTGAGAAAAACCAAAATAGGATACCTAAAAGAATCCCTCATGCACTGCAAACAGTTGGAACAATTGGGTTTACCTTATGGATTGACAAAATTAATTACTGGTGCTGTTTTAGAGTTAGAATTCATAAAAGATACAAATGCTTAATGATAGGGTGAAGATGGGCTTAGTGATGGGAAGTTTTTAAGGAAGAAGAGATGTTGAGGTTTAGAAAATATACCTGGGAAGTAGGGACAAAGCTACCATAGGACAAGGGGGGCCTTACGCTTTTGAAAAATGTTTAATCTACTATATTAATTTTTAATTAGTACAAAATTTGTTTTTGATGTTTGAATTATAAGGAT